TTACGCCTCCAGGGAAAACACGCGTTTCTGTCTCGAGTGGATCTCGTCGAGCGGCTCATCGCGCATCCTGTATGGTGGAAAGGGACCCGACCCATCGGTCTCGGTGGCGGGGGGATCGTGCGATCGCGGGTGGATTTCCGCCTCTTCCGCCGTCTCCAACGTGAGGGATTCCCATTCTCGCGGTGGCTCGTGATTCCTTCGCTTCGTTTCGCCGAAAAGAAAACGAGACGAACGAAATCGATCTCGAGGTCTTTGATGGAATGCCAAAAATAAATGCCCCGCCTCTCGAGCGACGAACCGGAAAATGCGGAAATGGATGCACGAGGACGATAAAATGGGGGAAGGAATTTCGAAAAATTATCATATCACAAGCTGGGTTACCCGGCGTTGCCCGGGAAATTTTTTAGGAGTAATATTTAGGTTGGGTGGTTAGGGTGGTTTGGTAGTGATGAGTCAAATACTGACCCTGGCCAAACAATACTTGACTTGTGGCTTCTCGAAGTTAGTTGTAGACTACTTGAAGTGTCTTGGCTTTGTTAAAGGGGGCCTTATAGAACTTACAAACTTCACTGTGGATGCAAGTGAAATTGGTAAGTAAAGGCCAGGGCAGTTATACTACTGTTAGTTGGCTAAGGCGAACCAATTTTTTTTTATTTTTGACAAGTGATTTCTATTGATTTTTTAGCGGCCCATTTTTTTATTTTTGACAGTGATTTCTGTTGTTATTTCAGCAAGCCAATTTTGTTCATTTCTTGACAGTGATTTCTGTCGGGGTGTGTCAGCCAGACTTTTTGTGCACCAAACAGGTTCTGGGAACCTGCGCAACTCCAATCCGTTGTCCCCGTCATCCTAGTTGGCCTGGAACAACCTTTGTGGGACCCCGAGACCCCCCCGCCCCCCGGAGCCGCCCCCCCCCTGACCCCAACCCCCGTATGACCTGCTACTGGACAGACCCGACCCTCCTGCGAAGGTTTCGGGTCGATATCTCCAACGGTGTCCGAATGCATAGTGTCAGATGGACAGAGACAGACAGAGATCCCTGCTTATAAGATGAAAGCTGCACGGAGGAGTTTCGATCGCGGTATTCGCGTGGGTGTCTCTTTCTCATCTCCTCTCCGTTCGTTTACATCATCGGCAAATTCAGAGAGCCATTTTCTTTGCGATGAGCAAAGAAGTCCGAACGATTACGAGCCATCGTGAAGGGCGAGATCGCCGGATCGTCGGGACGAGGCGGTATCGTAGGCTCGTGGCATCGTTTATCACGAGACGAGAGCGAAATTGCACGGCGATGATGTCGCACGACGGAAGTCCGAGGAATGACGTCCCGTGGGAAGAAAAGGGCGTTGACACCTCGGTTGACCCTCGAGGTAACGCTCGGTTTACCCTTAGTTTGCACTCGAGTTCGCTCCTTTAATCTTTCCACTCGATTCTGCGGGGGACTTTCCTTCCCCCTCGCCGCGGTCGCATTCCTCCGTGGAATGGGAGAGGAAGAGGAAAAGGCCCATCGGGAATGCATCCGGGCCGGGAAACCGATTCCTACAACTCGTCTCTCGACGACCTCGTCGACGATCGAGACGAATGGGGTCAAGATGATCGCGCGATTCACGTTCGAGAAGCACTCGAGGCCCCTCGATCGCCATGCGGATGGGGATGGTCTGGGCGCGATCTGCAGCCTTTTTCGTCGGAGGCGACGAGGCCGTTCTCGCGTGCGGAAACGTGCATCTTCTTCGCGAATCGTTTATCGCGCGATCGTGCGACGGTGAGCCGTTCCTCGAGGATTTCCTCGTGCTTCGTCTCGAAGAGAACCCACGGTCGCGCTTCATGATCCTCCACCCCGAGTCGTAATTCCACGGCCCCGAATGACAATCCCGCGACGCAACGCAGCAGTTCCTCCTCTCCCCCCTAAAGATCTTCCGCAGCACTCTGTTTTATACGCTCCGTCGCCGAACGTATCGCAGAAATCCACATCGGGTCCTCCTGGCATCGGTCCAAACGATCGCCTTCGCAGGGAAAAAAGGCCATTCTCACTTTTTACATTTTCTCACCTCGACAAAAACGACGGCAAGGGACGCGGCATCTTCCCACCGACGAATTCCGGGGAGGAGTCAGCCTGACCCTGCGGGAATCACGTGAACCCTGCACAAACGGATCCCCTCCCGGCTTAATTTCGATCCCGATTTCTGAAATAAGAGTTTTACGATGCAGCACTAAATGCATAACTACGAGATCTTCGCTTCCTAATCTCTTCGTTTGTCACCACGATATTTGTTACCGCTTTTAAGATACGAACTAATAACTTTAATTGAAAAAGGCCGAAAAGCGGTGGTGAATGGTTTCGTCGCTCGTCCGCGGTCTAACACGCAAGGCCGAAAAGACCATGCCATTCTAGGCCATGACAACTTTGGTATACTTTTCATCTAGGGTGTGTCAAAAGTCCTGCCCACCGTTTCAAAATTAATCACCTCGTAATGCCAGATTTGATTTAAGCGTGGTTAATACCATTCAAAGAATAAATAAATATCCATCAAGTAAAAAGCGTCCGCGTTTTTTGATGGTATATTTTTTCCTGATATGTAATTTGAATTCCTTTTTGGTGTATTCACTCAAAAGCGTTGACATTCGAAAAGACGCCGGGTCACACTGTCTGTCGCGTGTCCGATGAGTCGTGTCTCCGATACGATCGGTTCCGATCGAAAGGTATTAGAGAAAAACGATCGCGGAACGTTCGACAGTCGACGATCGCGTACCGATCGTTCGGCTCCACTCGGACTTCGGCCGGAAACGTGACGGAAACCGCTCGACGATCGGAGAAGGGATGGAACCGAGAAATCGTCAGCCGCAATTCCATCGGCCGGAATTTGGACACGTGCAGGAACGAATGGCAGACTCTCTCCGATTCGGACGCCCGCCATCGACGATGCCGTTCCCGGCCGTACGATACGGCATCTCGTCTGCACGGTCTTCGTACCGTGACGGGAGGCCGAGCTCTTCCGTTTCCTCTTTCTCTCGCGTCCGGAATTCAGTCGTCGAGACGCCGCGGGTGCCGGTGGAGGCGCTTTCAAAAGTGCACGGAGGAAATCGACGGTACGAGGCATGGATTTATTTTCCCTCCGACTTCCAACACGATACAGAAAGAAGAGGGTGCGGCGATGGAATCGACGACGAGCCCCAGGTCCACGTTGGGGCTCGAGTCGGAGGCATCCGACGAGAGTCGGCTCCGTTTGTCGTCCCGTGCGCCGTGAAAAATAATTCCGACCGAGGCATCGGAAACGGGATTTCCGTGCCGATGAGCGGAGGAGGGGATTCCGATTCGTAGCGGGAATCGCGTATCCGATTTTATTAGCGTAAGCACGCCGGTCCGAAAAACCGCGGAATGGATCTCTCCGACTAAAGCGAGCGATGGATCTTTCCTCTCGTTTTCCAGTCCGTAGTCGGAATCGGGTTTCCGTTCGCGGAAGTCAATTTCGGTCTCGTTCGGGTTTTCACTAATTGTCTCCATCGTTCAAAAACTGCTACTTTCCATCGGAAATGCTACACGGTAATTGGGATCTCACGACCTCCCCTCATCGATCCGTGAGTATTTGGTGCATCCCCATCGCGGGGAAACCGGAAGTTCTATTCGCTTTTCATCGGAATTCATCATTCGTTCGTCGCTATTCATCGGAACCTCCTTCCGATCGCTTCCGGAAAGATCGCGACCGATTTTCGCTTCTCTCGGAGAGAGCGTTCGAGGAGAAGGACCGAGTCCGGCATCTTCCGTGCTTTCATCCTTCCCAGAAGTGCTTGCCGCCGGCGGCCAGGAAACGTAGACGATGTCGGTGAAGCCGTTTCGGAAAGCAGTCGCTCTCCCAGCGTGAACGAGATGCCGTGATTCCCTTCTTCTCCCCGGTATCCGATAGGGAAATGCACATAAAAATAGCTCTTTTCCTGAGAGTGAAAACAATGCGTTTTTTTAAGCATCGCGGTTTCATATTTAAGGAAATATCGGAGGCTAATGGGATCCATCTATAATTCGGGCTGGAAATAAAGATATCGGGGGACTTCCTGGAGGTGACATTACTGAATGGTACGAATGATCACGAACGATATTTAGACGAATGTTCGAAACAGACTTTTCTGATACGAACGAGGAAAATCGGTCGTTCGCTGGAACGTCGGAATTCGGATTTGTGTCCCTCATGCAGAAAGATATGTGTGTCAAATGACGCACAAAAGTGTGATCTTGGATCGTCTGAGTGACACGGAATAATGTGTCATGAGTTTTGACCTACCGAAACGTGTCATTTGGCACATGTTACTGCATCAGTAGACACATTTAAATGTGCCCATCCTCGTGACACGTTATTCCGTGTCGCCAGGCCATAATCCAAACGTGGACACACACTGTCGTGTGTCATGGGACACGATTGCGCGTGTCCGTTGGGATATTCTCTCCTCCAGTGTGTCATTGGACACATCTTACTGCATCTGTAGACGCGTTGTAATGTGTCAACGCTCCTGACACATTTTATCACGACCGATGTGAAGAATTCTCTCATGACACACATACGTACGTCAAACGACACACTATGTCGTGTCATTTCTCTCCGTGTGGATGTAATATTTTCTGGAGAAGAAAGGGAAAATTTCGCAGGAAATAATTTCCGAGCACGAGGCGAAACTCAGGATGAGATGTCCTTCGTCGGAAATTTTACGAAGAATGATCGGAAATTCCCGAAAAATGTGTACCGTTCGGTTATCTCTTGCAGGGCCACCGATGTCACCGATCCTGCGTGGGAGGACGGAAGACAAAGGGACGATGCCCCCGAGGGTCTCATGTCGTCAGGGACTAGATCCGCCGGCGAGCAAGGGGTTTGGAGACTCGGCCGTGAGTCATAAAAGAAGGGGTCGGGAGTCGCCGACGATGCCGCTCGCCGCGCTCGAGGCCAGTGGACGGCTCCCGTAGTTGGGGCTAATTCGCAGGGTCGTGGCTGAGGTTCTTAAAATCGAGCGGAACCGAGATGAGGTCGATCGGGGAATGGCTCCAGGTCGATTCTCTCGGTCGTCGGGAGGACGTTCGTCGTTCGGAGACGGGTCCCTTCCTCTGGGTCGTCCATCCGGTCGTCGGTTTCCAGCACGTCGTTTTTCTTTTTAAAACTAATTGGAGCTAAATGTATGGTGGGCTCCGTTGCCATGCGGTGGATCGTCACATGTCTCCCGCCCACCATGGGGAGATCCTCCCAACACAGGGACTGGTGGAGTGCAAGACCTCCGTGAAGCTAGAGTCTCAGTCGTGCAAAGGGCACCAACGATTGCGGTGTTTCGGCGAGCCCGGGAGTTTCTCCTTTCGGGCCCGCCTCCACACCTGGATCTCTCCCGTTTCTCAATTTACTTTTACTCATAAGCAAAGACATTGAAGTCAGCGCCCTGAAATAATGATGCAACTTAACAAGTTTCAATTAAGGAATTGATTTTTCAATTAGCCACATTTCCACATATGTAAACATTTTGGTCCTCATATTGCGTACTGACGTGCATAATGGCATTGATTTTCTTGGTTTGCACAAAATATATGGAGACAATCGGTACATTGGTAAAGCATTTCTCCTGTCCGAGAGGAAATATTTCCGATCTCAATAATTTCTTCCTAGACCTCCTTAGGCATGTAGACAATTGAGGTACATCAGGATATGCAATTGTCGAGTCCATCGTGTTTCAAGGAAATCTCATAGTGTGAAGCCACNTTTCCGATCTCAATAATTTCTTCCTAGACCTCCTTAGGCATGTAGACAATTGAGGTACATCAGGATATGCAATTGTCGAGTCCATCGTGTTTCAAGGAAATCTCATAGTGTGAAGCCACATGTCTTGTGTTTTCATGCCATCTGGCTATGCATACCCTTTGAGATACTTTTGCAGGTGGATGCTGACAAACAACCTTCTTAAAATATTTATTGGCCATTATGAAGAATCGCATTAGTACTCATCCATTAAAGTGGCTGCAAATTACATTTCTTTTTTTGCCTCTTTTTCACAGGGTGCAGCGATCCAATTATGCAGACCACAAAGTTATGGGTCTCAGAAATGATGATTGGCTCACAATGGTGATTGATGGTATGGACCAAACGAAAACAAACATACCAAGATTTTCCAAGGAAGACAAGCACACCACAAGCTTACCAAAGATCATCACCCATATCACTGGTGATTATCATCCTTTTTCAATTTCCTTGGTTGTTTCTATTCATGGTTATCAGAAAATTTTATGCAGAAACATGATGATGAGGAATTCCCATGAATTAAAACCCCCCTACCTGCATTAGATGCAAATGACCCACCACCTACAGATGTAGTGATTTCTCATATGATATTCATTATCTGAATTTTCATGGAATGAAATTGTTCCGAACCCAACTTGATGCCAGGGGGTTTATTTCCTTTGAAAGATGGGCTATTGATTACACTCTCATGAAATGCCCTAACCTACATTACATTATACATACATTAACATACATTAACATTAACTACATACATTAACAGCCATATGAAATTCTGACATGTCTTATGCTATGCAGGAGTCATGGTGTATACTGGCAAGGGTATTCGAGAATTCGCCTTTGTAGACATGGGGCAATTTCCACATGATTCAAATCTATGTGTGGAAGTCATCCTTCGGTCACTCCTGCATGTGAAGATGGACTTGAAGAATAAACTTTTCCTGCAGATGTGCTCGGGAGAATTAGAACAAGTTCATCTGTGCATTCGCATATCTCCAGGTGGAGACTGGCATATTTGAAGAAATTAGTTGATGTCTTCATTATACCCCTTGCTTGGAATGTAAACTTGAAGGTTATAACATATTGGACTCCATTAAATCAATATTAATACATTGACTTCTCACCTGTAGCTTCTAAGGATGGCATTACTTAAGGCTCCTGATGCCTTTACATTTTACTGAAGAGTTAAATGGGTTAATTTTCATAATCTTGCAAAATGGAAGTTTATCTTTACAAAAATCTTCCTTTGGGGTCAAATTTTCACACAACAGTATTTAATTTGAGATGTAGTGGAACTCTTTTCAAGTAAGATTTCAGGTCTCTGTTAATAGGTGATTCATGTTTTCCTTTCCATCTCCAAGGTTGTTTTTAATTTCCACCCAGTTGGTCGCTCCCATGAAGACATAGATCAGCTCTTCAGTTCCATTAACAGCTACCTGAGGACCAGAGACACTTGCACAGTAGATGGTGAGCTTCGAGATTCAAAGCTTTCAGGGTTCAAAATATGCATTGAATGCAGCCAAATGTGACCTTGCAATGTGTATTTCATATAATTCTTGCTCAGATATGTTACATATATTTAGTAACTGATGTTTCTTTTTGTTCATGACCGACCTGATGAAATGCCTGCGAGAGATCAAAAGGAGAGGAAGGCAATATGCTCTTCATGCTGAGGAAATCATTGTGGTTCATGATTTTAAGAATACTGTGCAACCTCATTTTCCACAGCATTTCAAGGGACACAGCCTACCTTTGGGATTCAGATTCCGAAAGATCCATGGAGTTACGCAACTGCATGTTCGCAAACATGCTATGGCGAATTGGTGCCCAAATGAAGAGGATAACCAGTATGACAGAGAAGCCCTTGGCCCAGATTTAGGGTACTTGGTCCTGAAGGTTTGTGACGAAAGCATTTTCATATTTTGGTTTAGTCAGGAGGTGAAGGCCTTATTGAATTCGTCCTCATCAGAAAGGTGTAGTACAAAGTCTATGATCGTATCATTACTTTCATAACCTCTCAATAGCTTTAACCCCATCCATAGAAAAACATTCCATGTCAAGCAGCATCATTCATGCTGAGATGTTTCCCATGAATCCAAACTATGCCATTGGTTGATTTGGGCCATTCTTACCTAGATTTCTTACAAGATTTCCTATTACAGAATCTTGCAGAGGTATTGAATAAGTTTTGACTCAAAAATGAAATTTCAATTTTATTAGCTCTGCATAACCCTGTAAATACTCTCTGAAACTGACAAAGCAACCTAAAAGGTGAAATCAGCTCACGCTCAAACTGAAATACTAGCAGGTTCTTCAGAGGAAAGAATCTTTGATATGCTGCTGCATTAGTAGGTGGTCTAATAATATGTGTTCTGTCTTGTCCTCAGACAACTCCACCTGTTGACACATTTACTTCCCTGGTACATCCTGACTGGGAAAAGGGCAGGGTTGAAAAAAGTGAAAACCTCAATACCTCACTACTTTCCAAGAATGCCAGAGGATAAGATTAAAGTCTGGAAGATGTTCTCCCTCGATTCTCTTGAACTGGTGACGTTTTCAAGCCCTGAAGTATGCCTATGCATCATTTGAAGATGTATCAGCTTGCTAACAGTTGATATGTGTATTTGTTTCAGGAAGCCACTCCATACATCTGGACTCTCGTGGAACACAAGAGGACTTTGACCACACCAGGAATGACTCCAACCATGCTGAACTTCCTAAGGGGCATGGAGAACCAGTTGCTCAGACCTCTGGAGCAGGTAAAAAATGTTTATATACATAAAATCCAAGTATAGAAGCCCATATTGGCTTCATTATCTGCATGGCCATATCCATGGCAATGTGGAAGAATTGAGGAGCATTTTTATTGTAGTATTAGAAGTGCCAAAGGGAAGTCTATGGCTTCTCTTCTTTCACTATTAATGCAATGATCCGAAGTCAAAAGTAGTGCTTAAAGTTGTATATGGGCTTGAGATAGATTTTTTTGCAAGAAACGAGAAAAAATATCCAATGCCTGACGAGGCAACAGTGCAACTGCCTGTATATCATTCTTTCTATTGTACTGTGTTTATTTCAACAGCCTATCATCGGTTCGGTGGGAAGCCGTAGGCAGGGTGCATTCAGTGGGACTGAAGATCTCCAGCTAGGAATGCTCGCAGCTGTCTTTACATATGATGAGGTATCCCGTCCTTGGTTGGGAAAGGCTCAGGCAATAGAAGATGGCGATACAGTGAGGATCCGCTGGTATATGGGAGGCTATCCCAAATCGTGGAAGCCCATGTCAGGAACCAACAGCACGTCATCTGTTCATTGTGAATCCCTTCTATTATGGGGGTTTACACTCACTGAGAAAAGTCAGCGACTGACAAGTGAAACAGCTGCAGAATTGAAGCGGCTCTATCAAGAAACAGAGGACCGGATGACGATCCAACAAGACCGCATCTCAGAGGAAGTATAGATTTAAATTTTTCATGGTCAGTTATGTGAAGTATTACATTTTCTCCTTTTTAATAAGAATTTGTATTTTGGGAGACTTTTAAAGAAGCAAAATTACCATTTTGTTCATAGAGATTGTTTCATTGAGTTACATTCTTGAATAAGTAGCTGTAATAAAAATAAGAATGCACAGCTGGTAAACTTCGAGGAAACACTGTCAATGATTATGTCTTTTTTTCATGCATTTTATTTTTCCTTCCTTCCAGGAAATATCTGCTTCCGCACAAGAAAGGACAGTGAGGAGGCTCCCAAGGGAGGAAGGATTCTGTTAGCAATTTTCTCCAGGATGGAGATGAGTCTAATTCTTAGTCAGTCATGTATTAAACCCCCCTACCAAACCTAACTGAAGCATTGGATCATGTCTTTATCTTTTCTCACCTCCAGAAATTCCTGCCCCTTCGGAGATCAGCAGAGGATGCATAAGGACTCTCTTCCGATGCTTCTCAGCAGGGATGCATTCACCATATCATGCTCTCCCATGAACATGAAGAATAGCATCTACCAGGTCAGTTCTGTATGTCATGTAGGAGATGACTGAGTGAATGCCTTTAAGTGCCATCTAAAATTAAAAAATGATGTATACTTCCTATCTATCCCTCATCGGGCAGATGATGATTTCATGGAGATGGAAGGTGGAGCTTGCCTTCACCCAGCTTTAATCTTATTCTTGGAAAATGTGGAAGGTGGTGAACATCGTGAATCACATCTCATCTGAACTTGCAATATGTTGAAGACTTATGGAACATTTTGAACCTGTTTCAAGATATTGCAGTGTCTCATATACATTTTTTGTTCTTTATTCTGTATGCATCATATAGTATAATACCTTGCATTGAGTTTGAGTTTGTAGTGAAAATCCTGTTTCCAGAATGAAATGCTTTAATAAGCCTCAGTATTGAGTACTTGATGATTCTAATTGACGTTCGGTGCTCCTCACTTTTCCAGTAAATAATGCTTTCAGGTTTGCCAAATTGTTGATTTGAAGAATTCATTTTGTTTCTATGATCTCAGACAATAAATTGTTATATTTTTTCTCTTAAGAGATTATACCTGTGTTTGTCTGAACTTCAACAAATGGAGTAGGAAGGACTCTGCCTATGAAATGGATCCATCATTCTGGAATAGTCTTACTGATGAAGAAAGCAAGAGAGAAATCTCCAACATGCAAATCTCGACCAAGGGGAAAGCCTGCCATTTGGCACCCATTACCTTTGGTCTGGAACATGCGCACTGCCATGACCTGGACCGAAGGGAATACCTGCCACTTGGCACCAATTCCCTTCGGTCTGGAGCATGCGCACTGCCATTCTCCAGATCGAAAGAAATATATACCAAATGGCACTGATTCCCATTGGTCTATTGGATACTCGTCCCTATTATTAGAACAGGTTGGATTTTGGGTCAACTGAAAAAAACTTTCAAGATGGTTGCCCCCAAGCACATTGACACTGCCATTCTCAAGTAGTATCAATGGGATTAATGAGTAATTTTCTCTTTTTCAAGCGGACATTACTATAGAAGGCATGGATATGGTATCCATGACAATTCACATGGACCAAATCATGTTTTTGGCAGGAAGGTAGGACAAAAGCCTGAGTCGGCCACATAAGAATCAAACAGGTACCATATGCCTAATTGAAATATTAAAACCTTAATTGAAAATTGTTCACATATATTGTTTCCCATTAACTATGAGACACATTAAGTTAATCATGCTTCCCTTGTAAATATAAATCGTAATAAGATATAAAATTTAAATCAAGGACTCCAATGGGCTTCCCTTCCCCAGATAAGGGTTTTAAAAAAAGACAATAAAAACAGATAAGAACAAAATATTCGACGGAAAATGTTGATAACGCGAATCGAACTCAAGAGGGAAAGTATCAAGGTAATGAATGGCATTCGTGAAATATCAAAAGTCTGATATCGACATTATATAATAATGTAACATTAATGCATTGTCTAATGCAAGGGTCCCGAAAGTGCGGACCTCCAAGGGCTTTTGTGCGACCCGCGAGGAGTTTTGGGGAATTAAAAAAATTTTTTTTTTTGACTTGGAACTAACTAAACTAGGAAAATTTTTTTTGTTTGGTATGTTTACCATGCAGAGAAGCAAGTGTCCAAATATCCAGCCCGCGAGCCCGTACCCTAAAGGCTATGCGGCCCTCATGACCCAAAACTTTGGGCACCCCTGGTCTAATGCTAGAGAATGATTATGCCAGTATTTCTATTTAAAGTGCACTTTTCGGTTATTTATTTTCCAGAAAGTCTGAATCGGACAAACACAGGATCACATGAACCTATGAATTGCAGTGATTCGTGTGTCCTACCAGCTCCATCTCCATTAATTTGCTCGCCATTTTGCACTTCCTCGAATAGTAAATTACTACTTCATCTCACTTGCAATAATATTTTTTTTGCACACATACTAATTGCTTTGTTTTTCCATGCATCGCAGCCTATCACACACCAATGCTACCACGTGAGCTAAGTGCCATTGGGGACAGAGAGCTGGAACGACTCGGTTGACTTCCCAAGGCTCCCTCTTTCTCCCTTACAAGAATCGATTGACTTCCAAGAAACACCAGAAAAGTTCAACTTTTCATATGTAGGACCCAATGGATCGATGAACTCCAGTGCTTCAACTGTCATGTCTGCCCCATCACCCCTGACCGGCTCGCCATTTTCCAATCCATCCAGCTGTGAATTAACTCTTTGATTATAAGCAGCGTATATTTCATGCATGTCCTAATTTTCCTGTTATTATCTACGCAAACAGCGCTTCAGATACCTTTGGTTCCCCGACGACAGCACATGCCATTGGGAACAGAGAGACGGAATGGCCCAGCAGACATCACAAACCTCTCTCCTCCCTTACCAGAGCTCATGGATTTCCAACGAAATAACACATCGCAAGAGGATCTTCGTGCTCCTCTCTTACATTCGTGTTAGTGAAAACCTTGACTCTACTATTCCTGCGGAGAGATGATTCATGAGCTTCATTTGCTCAAGTTGTTGCGAAAAAAAACGGTATCTTGCGCCAATTGTTTCGTTTCATGCATGTTTTTTATCTTTTGAGAATCAACAAAATCTTTCAAATAAAATAAGTTATCCTTTGAAACTAGATATGAACCTACGTGAATGCCGATGAGGATCGCTCGCACATAAATCCATTCCTGTAGAGAGGCAGTTCACCTCAGTCCCATCCCAAATTTCTAAGGCGGCGTTTATTCATGTTAAGAAATTTATTATCTTAAAAGCTGCACAACCAGTCTGGGGAAATTCTGCACGTAATCTTGAGATATGGAGACCGAGTTGCAGAAAACATGTTTTAAATGAAGAACTAAGAGGGAAAATATAACGATTTCATGATTAGATGACAGTACGCTTTCAATGATAAAAGTTGTGAACCCTGATTTCCAGGGAAAACTTCACGTGGTGACTGTGCCATGGATGACGCATCACTTGGGATTATCGGTGAGCAATTCTTTTTTGTTGACATTTACTTTGAATGATTGGAGAGAATATAATGAAAAGGATAGCCATGGCAATATGTGAACCCATGGTTGCACATGATGTCCATTTCTTGACAAGCTAGAAGTATTCAGATTTTAAGAAATAATAGGACTAACAATGAGATTCCCATGAAGTCTCAGGTTTGGCAAAAAGTACAGATATGCAATTTTGAAGAATTTCGGGTCAATTAACTCATCTTCCTGTTAGAATATTGCTTATGAGGATGTACTTACTGTTGCACCTAGGGAAAAATTATTTTAACTCTGGTGCAGAGTTGGATTTACTCACCTTTCATTTCTTCTATTTGAAGAGATGACATATCCTTGCCCTCTAGAAAATTTCACAAATTGCATATTCACCGTATTTTCAGACTTACAAGTCCATTTCTTTACATTTTCCCATTCAATTGTCAATAGTAGACCAATTACTTAAATAGTTTACTTGACGGTATCTGGTACCCTAATCAATTTGCAGGTCAAGTGAAATGCTTTTCAGTTGGGTAAGCATGCCCTCAGACAAAAAAAGCCACCAATCTCCGAGCATGCCATGATCAATTGTGCAGATACAGAATGCTTGTGAATCAATTAAATGAATAGGACATGCTTGCCTGAATGAGATTAATCTATTATGTTGCAGAGGAGATGCTTGCACTTCGGCCACATTCAACTCCAGTGAAAAAAACCGGATCTATCGATACAAATGCTGTTTAGGAAAGATGGAGATTGGAGATCTGCACGAAATGGAAGAAGTCCTGACCAAGATGACAAAGAAAGATAAAATGAAATTATTGGTGGATCTAATATCCCAGAATTCGTCCCGCAGTCGCAAGACCGTTTCTTGCAAGGGTGTGAGTCTATGCAGACTATGTTGCTTGAATTTGTTTCGTGTTAAAGAGGTGGAATGGGTGAAGCTGCAGAGGAGACAAATATCTCAAATTCCCAAGTGCCAGAGAAGGAAACCGAAGAAGGAGTTTGTTCACGTATGGCTGTGGAACTTCCTCAGTCTTCATGGACAACATTCGCCTTGTCCAACGAAGAAAATATTTGTCCAGGGCTTCACGTGCAAACAAGTTCACCAACAAATGATGTAGAATTGCATTAAGAAGGGATGTTCCAGGAGGAGTCTCCTGCAATACACCCGCTTCACTACGATCCTCAAGGAGATGAACATCTGTTTTGGGAAGGTAGGAAATAACGTGCTATATTTTTTGCTGGTGTTTTAATGCCTGACAATACCAGTGAAAACGTTGTTTTGGACATACTGGACTGAAACTGGTATGAAAATATTAGCAATTCCAAAACATTATTTTTATTTTTGTTCCATTATGATGACTCATTGAAATGTATGTGAAAGCTTATTTTAAGTAGGAAAGTAGCCATGATAGCTTGATCACGTTGTGAATTCCTCGAGAGTTTCATCATGCATCTTTCTCGACCCACAGCCCAATGCATTTCTTCATTGTGGACTATGCACCCAGCTGAAGAAAAGTGGAAAACTGCGACCCGAGAGGCCCTGGAAGAATTGGAAACGCTTCGCCAGGCCCATCTGAAGATGGTTGAGTGCATTATGATGGGTTTCATTATTCATGAAAATATTCATTACTTAATGATGTACTAACAAATATCCCATTATTCCATACAGGGAGCAGCGTTCCAACTACATGAAGCACAAGGTTCTAGCCATTGATGATAGTGACTGGGTGACCATGGTAGTTGATGGCATGGATCAAAACAAGACTAATATCCCTCGATTTGCGGAGGAAGACAGGCAAGCCGGCAGCCTACCGAAAATCATCACACACATTTCAGGTTTTTGTTTAAATTTTGACGTGTAAACATTTGCCATTAATGACTAAATGGAGAATTTAACTGTAGCTGGTTTTCTATAAATTTACACATGGGGTATATTCCTACAATATGTGATATGGCTGAATCCCCCTGAGAAAGGAGTATACCCTGGTACTTCCAAAAATAACCCAGATTAAACTGGTTATTTAAAAATTAAAATTCTGGGTTCGATTCTGTTGATGTTCACATTGCAAGTAAATGAGTGGTAAAGAATTCCTCTCCTGTGAAATATTATTAGTACTGACATTCTTGAAATGCCTCTATTTCCGGTATAGGAGTCATGGTCTACTCACGCAAGGGGATTCGAGAATTTGCATTTGTTGACCAGGGAGAATATCCTCACGACTCGAACCTCTGTGCAGGAGTCATCCTCCGTTCCCTCCTCCATGTTAGGCATGACTTGAAGAGCAAGCTGTTCCTTCAGATGGACAACTGTGCCAGGGAAAACAAAAATAAGTACATATGTGCCCTTGCACACATGTTGGTTGAGACTGGCATATTCAAAGAGGTAATAACAAATCACTTTAACCATATCCTTGCTTCTTTTACATGAAATCATACTATGCCATAAGTAACATGCACAATGTCAGTTTCTTTCGAGAGGGTAAAATGAATGGAATTATTCGCAAATTTAATTTGCTTCATATCATGCTTTGTTACATTTTTCCCCCGAAGGTTGTGTTCAACTTCCATCCTGTTGGGCACACCCATGAATATATCGACCAGCTTTTCAGTTCTATCAACCGCTACCTGTCGATCAAAGACACTTGCAGTGTGGATGGTGAGTTTAAAATACTTGCAGAGCCAGTTTCTGTTAGATGGCCATGCCGATGAAAATCTTCAAGCTTTTGTTCCTTCCCTAAACAGGAAAAGAACATGTACGTCCATGACCAGTGTAATTGTTCATATGATGCTCCGCCGAATGTATTTGGATGAGAAATGTTGACTCCCCATTGTGAAATGTAAGAAGAAATGTAAGAAGATTTGAATACTTTTGCTAGCCTGACATGATCTTTCCAATAGGAGAAATTTTTATTAGGAAATCTGTTTAGCAGATTCCACATGGCCTCAGGAAAAGTTATTTTCCGTAGCCTTTATTTTGACAAAGAAAGTCTACAGTAAATATTCAACTGCTCGCAATACTTGGTAATATGAAGTGCCACCCTGTGGGTTTCCTTTTCATCCAGTATACTGTTATTAAGTCTTCAGTATTTTTTTTCAGTATTTTATATTCCGTACCCTTTCTAGCCAGCCTGCTGCACCTAGAGCGTTTGTTCTCCCTGTGTTTTTCGTTTTTTCCATGGTTGTTCTCCATCATTTGTGATAAGTTTGATATCTTTATTTTCCCTTTGGTTTCCTCTTTCTAATAAGCTATTGTTTGCATTCTGTTTTTTCCTAATTTGCATTGGTTTTTGCTAATTTGCATTGGTTTGCATAATCATCATTCGTTGGGTTCTTTTCTTCTTTTCTTTTTTCTTTCCTCTCTTTTTCATTTTAATTTCTTTTCCTTTTTTGATTGGAGTATCCTTCTTGCGTTTCATCCTTGTTAGTTCCCGTTTTTCATTAGGCGTAAGTTTTGCCTGGATCCAGGCTAGTATCATAATTGGTACCTTTTCTGTAATCTATTCTTCCCCCCCCCCTTTTTTTTCTTCATTCTGTCATAGGGCCAGACATTTTCTGACCTTGAAGCTTTTACATTGATTCCTTAGCTTTTCTTCATCTGCCTGGGGCTAGGCGCCCTTTGCTTCTTTCCCCTCGCTCTGCTTTTTTCCGTCTGTCTGGTTTGTTCCTTTCGTTTCCTCCCCCTCGCACGGTTTCCGTGCTTGGGTCCTGTTCCTCCCCCCCCCCCCCCTTCGCCCTCCCTCTCGCTCGGTTCCATCGATCTGAGTGACCTTGTGATCCATTTTTTCGCCTCTTAGAATGTCTCGTCCTCATTCAGTGGGCGAACGCCTTCCTAGGAAGAACGCTGTTCTGTTTCGTGCGGTCGATAACGCCTCCTTGGAGGAGCACGT